CCTCAATTTGTTGGCGATTAGCTCTGCCTTGTCGTGTTTTACTAGTTTTTCTGAAAAAGATATATTACACTTTTTATACATATAACCATGAATTTCTCATAGATTGTACTTACTCTGTCATGTTTAGCACACTATTTCTCTCTTATAATGAAAGCACACTATTTCTTTAGCACTTATTTCTCTCTTATAACGAAAGCTGTAACACAAGAAGTTATATATACATGATTTAGAGCTTCTGAACAAGAATAACGATAACACATAACATATTACTTAATTAGGTACTCATTTTTAATACAAAATATTATTCTTACCTGATAAAAGAAAGAACTGCTATCAAAAATAATATCTAGATAAATCTAGATAAAAGATAAATCTAATTAATGTAAGAAAAATTAATTTAATATTGAAAAATATTATTTGATGAGAACATCAACCCAGGTAGCAAGCTGACGTTATTTATTGTCATTTTGACGTCAAAAAGATCTTTTTGAAGACATTTTGACGTTAAAATGACGATAAATAACGTCAGCTTGCTACTTGAGAATATAAGGTTAGTATATATTTTATAATAAAAAAAGATGATAAAAATACATAGCGTAGCGTAACGTATGTTTTACGGATGTTACAATGCGGAGGATAATCTTTTTTTACTATAAATTATATTATAGACTAACCTTATATTAATGTTTTCATCAAATATAAAATTAATTTTCCTTACATCTAAGATCTCTTTCTCTCTCTCTCTCTCTCTCTCTCTGCAATTTTGTTTCGCGTTCGTAAATACATTCAGATATATCCATAAAAATCCATGATCTGATTGGTTAAGAGAAAATTGATAGAGTTACACCGATGAAGATATACGACGTTTCATAACGACGTCGATATTGTATTTTGTATCGATATCGTATCGTCAACCCACGTCAACCGGAATTACGGAATAACATTTTCGTTAGTGTCGTTAGTGCAAGCGACAATTGTCGCTACGAAACGATAGCGACATTGTCGTTATAAAGTTAGAAAATCGCCCTGCAGGGCAGTCACTTCATAAATGCGCTCATGCGCAATATTGCAAAAAAATTCCGTATTGCGCAATACAAAACCACTGCCTACAGGCCACA